GTGCCAATATTTTTTTTCCTCCACCAGAGTTATGCAACCTAAGGAGCTATAATAGCGCCATAGCTCCCTAGTGGGATCAGAGGGCAACCGAAGGTGGTGAGGAAGCTCAGTTTGAATCTTGAGCAGGATGTCCCGAAGGTGAGTAGGGCCCACCAAGCTTGGCGATAGGTGCCCCAGGAAGAGCATGTCTAGCTGTGCCCTAACATGTGCAAGTGACAACCGCAGCGACTGTGAAGTTTGCTGCAGTCTGCTGATTGCCATTGATAGTTGCAGGAACTGCTTCACAAAGCCCCCCAGTCGCCGCAGTTCCATTGACATGGACTGTTACGTTTCCCAGTTCCCCTTACACATCCAAGACACCCCTAATTAACCGGTTGATGGCCTGTCTATTTTTCGTTAGGTCTACTCTAGTGACATTCAATATTGACAAACTGCTCTTTGCCTCCTGTACCAGAACCCTCTCACCCTCCTCTATAGCTATCAACTTTTGTTTGATTGCCTGTAATTCTGTCTCTGAGACTGTCCCGAAAAGGACATTAAGAGCTTTACCAACTATGGGAAGCACGGCCCTTCTTTTTCTAGGTTGTAGCAGCTTCAATTCCCCCAGATAGTTCCCCATCCCTTCCCGCTGAGACTCTAGCGCTTGGATCTCCTGCCTAAGGGAATACATGATCCCACGGTATCTATCAGAATAGTGATCCGTAGCTATCTCATCCCCGATCACTGTTACCTTCTCTATTTCAGATGCTAACTTCTCCAATAGCTCGTTATAGGGCTTCAGGTCGATCATAAGTGTGATGACCCATTTCGACCGTATCATCACCACTTTTGTGGAGTTTTTAAAAATGGGGCTCTGACTGCGCCTCCACGCACCAATTGGCATCATCAGAATGAGCAGTAGCAGGATCCTCTCCTCAGCCATTCTGTAATGCAATAGGATGCAGAGTCACTAGGGATGAACACACTATAAGCAGAGAAAACTCACATGACACTACACCCCAATTCCCATTCTACTTCCTTCTATTCTTAGCAGCAACCATCCCCAGGAGATGTACAACTAAAGGTTGGAACCCTGAGAGGGTAGAGCTCTTACATCTATTTCCTCGGTGCGAAATTGAGCCCCATCCTCCTGAGGTAAGTTTCTCTCCCGCAACCTGGCCTGTATACTACTCAGGGGCATATCTTCCTCATCGTCCGTTCCCTCTTTCTGTGGGGATTTGGTTAATCTTAATTTAAACTCTGCAAGTGGGATCTCATCCTCAGAAATCCACCTATGTGGTTCTCGTCGAGGAGGATAGAACTCCACCCCTGGGTTGTGATCATCTTCTGCCATATTTGATGGGGATGATTCTAACTTGGAATCCTGTGTATCGGAGTCCAGCTAACGTTGATTGCTTCATTGACCTTCCGTTGTTTTCGACCTGTGCGTTTTCCCACTCTCTGAGCTCGGCCAATTTCAAATCATTAGCATGGACCCTCTTAACTTTTCCCGCTAGTTGGTCCCATATTGCAAAAGTAACGGGGCCTGTTTTTTCGACTATCCTGTAGTATGGCCTCCACTTTTGATCTAGTTTACCCTGCCTATCGTGAGCCCGGTAATAGACCGACTCTCCTACATCTAACTCTACCTTTCGGCGATCCTTGTTTATGGCGTAATTCCTCTTTTTCTGTGCACGTCTATATTTCTGTCCCGAGCCCTTACGAAGGTTTTATGCTGTTGTTCAATGATGAGACGGTGGTGGTCCTCACCCATGTATTTCCTACGAGGTTTTGGCAAATTGTCTACCGGTAGGACCACATCACGCCCGAACAGCATGTAGTATGGTGAGAATTTTGTGGTCTCACACATCGAGAACCTCACTGCGGCCAGCGCCTGAGTTAGGTACAGATCCCAATTATGTCTGTCACTCTCAGTCAATTTAGATAGAATGTCACCCAAGAAACGGTGGAAACGTTCTACCTTGGTATTACTCTGTGGATGGTATGGAGACGTAGTTACATGCCTTATATTGAGGCTTGCCATTGTTTCCCTCATGATCTCATTCACATTTTCAGACCCATTGTCGGTCACTATTTCCAAGGGGGCCCCATAGCGCGGAAATATCGCTGTTAATATCAGACTAGCTACCGTTTGAGCCTTTTTGTCTGCTACAGCGTAGGCTTCTGGCCAATTAGTTAACCAATCAACAAAGCTAACAATATAGACATTTCCCCGCAGGGTTTCACCGTATGGACCAGAGATATCCAAGCTAACCTTTTCAAATGGATAAGCTGGAATATCCGTCTCCTCAAGAGGGGCTGTCTCACACCTGCTACTTCTGGCCTGACAGGTGACACAGCTATTCACGTATGTCGTTACTTGCTTGTACAATCTGGGCCAGTAATATTTCCTACTAATGAGCTCGGAGGTCTTATCGATGCCTATGTGCCCTATCGCATCATGGCACTGTTCCAGTATCTTATTCTGTAGTGCACGGGGGACGTACAGTCGAGGTCTAGCTTCCTCGTCCCTATTAGAAAGGTAGTATAACCGATCATCCTGTATTAGGTATCTACTTGCACATGCTTCCGTTACCTTCCCTGCCTCTATTGCTTCTTTTAGTGTCCTAATTTCCTCATCCGTCTGGTATTCGCACTCTAGTCCTATTAAATGGTGCTGTCCTGCAATATTTGAAGCATCACAGGTTACCTCGTCAACGCTTGGCACCTTTTCTATTCGGTGGGAGTTGATCGCATTTATCTGATAGGCTCGATCATCCACTTCTGGTATTACACTGATTGATTCCCGCTCCAACTGCTTAGGAATTCGTGATAATAAGTCAGCACATGTATTTTTTCTACCAGCCAGGTATTCTATTTTGCAGTTATACCCGCTTAACTTAAGTGCCCATTGTTGGATCTTTTTATTGGTCCAGTCTCCTTCGAACAGATACTGGAGGGGCTTATGGTCAGTCTTAATTACGAAGGTAGCACCGCTCAGGTAATAGTCAGCTTTTCTAATGCATAAACTATGGCGTAAGCTTCCTTTTCAATCACGGGCCATCTCTGCTGAGTAGGAGACAATTTATGGGACAAGAAGTAAATGGGTACTTCCTCTGGCACACCTGGTATGGGGCTGTCCCTCTCGGGGCATGGTTGAGTAAGGCAGGCACCGATGCACTGATCGCTGGCATCGGTGTACAGAATCATTGGCCTGCTCAGATCCGGGTAGGCCAATAAGGGGATGGCTGTCAACTGTTCCTTCAGTGTATTGAAAGATCGCTACCAATCCTCCGTCCAACTAAACCGGGCATATTTCTTTGTTAATGCTATGAGTGGTGTTGCTATCCTTGAAAACGCTGGTATGAACCTCCTATAATAGCCTATTGCCCCTATAAATCCTCTAACTTCCCTAACAGTCCGTGGTTGGGGCATAGCTCTGATTACTTCAACCTTATCTATATCCGGGTGTACCCAACCCTCATCAATAACGAATCCTAGGTATTTTGTTTCCTTTTTCATAAACTGACATTTAGGTAACTTAATCTTTAGTCCATGCTTCCTTAGCCGAGCAAACACTGTCCTCATGTGCCTGAGATGCTCATCGATAGTGGCTGAAAAGATTAATATGTCATCCAGGTAGACCATAGCGAACTGTTCTAATCCCCCAAGCACCACAGACATGAGCTGTTGAAAAATACCAGGCGTATTGGCCAATCCAAAGGGCATGACTCTAAACTGATAAAGCCCCACGTGACATGCAAAGGCAATCTTTTCTCGATCGGCCTCATCCAAGGCCACCTGCCAGTATCCTGATCTCAGATCTAACGTGGAAAAGTAGGTGGATTTGCCAAGCAAAGCTAGAATGTCATCGATCAATGGCAGGGGGTAGGCCAGAGGTTTCGTGATTTTATTCAAGGCTCGGAAATCCACACAAAACTTATGCCCCCCATCCTTCTTGCTGACTATTACTATTGGGAAACTCCACGGGGACACTGAACGTTCAATAACGCCTGCTCCCAGCATATCTTTAACTGCCCCTTCTACTAGTTCCCGTTTGTGCAGTGAGGTTCGATATGGTTTTAGTCTTATAGGTGGATGGTCACCAGTGTTGATTTTCATCCGAACTGACTGTGTTTGACCTAAATCCTTATCCAAGTTGGATATTATGTCCCTATTCTCAATTATAACACTGCTTATTTTATCCTTGTGTTCAGTTGGTACCACTATTTCTTCAACATTAACTGCTGTGCGTGTGTGTCCATCTCCATAATCTGCCTTACTTATTACATTCTCTCTTATGCTTGCAGATACCGCCTTTCCTATTTCCTTGCCGCTAGGTATTCTTATTGTGGTGTTAGCCAACATAATTGGAGTCTGGCCTTCCCTTCCGACTTCCACCACTGATTCGCATAGCGTAACCTCCCCCTCTTCACGAATGGGATCATCTATGGGGGTTATTTGAAAAGTACCCCCACGATGTTCTTCTGTGGGAGACAGCCTGCCTTGACAGGAAACAGCTGTACGAGGGCAAATAACAATGTCCTCAGTGGTTACCACCATAGATTCCTTGCTCATGCAGTTTTCAAGTGGTATCTCCTTTCCCCCTAATTTCAGCCTAACCGGATTGAAGCTAATGTGCGCCTCGTTTCCTTCCAGCCAATCTCTACCTAAGATCATCGATCTACAGAGAGTGGTTGCTACATATGTTTGCATAGTTACCACCTCTTCTACCATCACTGGCAGACATATCATACCAGATATTTTTATTTCCCAACCATCAGCCTGTACTACCCTTAAGTCTGCAGGTTTTAAATCCTTGCTCATAAACCCTAATTCTAACAAATCCTTCTGCTTAATCATTGATATGGATGCTCCAGTATCTAATAATGCTTTTACCTTTTACCTCACAAGTTAACTCAGTGCCCTGACCAATTAATCCATAACTTTGAGCCACACTTATTTCCCTTTGGGTGCCCCCCCCACGTTTCCCTGGATCCTTCCAAACCTCTTACCTCCGGATGCACCCTCCTTTCTGGGGCACTCCCTCCGTATGTGACCCAGCTGTCCGCACTCCCAACACCCCGGTTGTCTTGGGTCAGGGAGTGGCCTTCTCCAGCCCCTTTCATGGGGGTGGTCTCTCCAACGATAGCCCGAATGGCCATGCTCCCCCTGATCCCAAGCAACAGGAGGAGTCTCTGTCCACCCCGTTCTCGTCTCTCTTGACCATCCCTTTTCTTCTCCCCTCCCCTGGGAGGCTGTGAGCCTATTATAGAGCCTAAGACTCTTTCCTGCCGTTGCAAACGCCTCCACAAGTGAGGCTGTGTCTTCTCTTGCTGTGTCTTCTCTTGCTGTGTCTTCTCTTGCTGTGTCTTCTCTTGCTGTGTCTTCTCTTGCTGTGTCTTCTCTTGCTGTGTCTTCTCTTGCGAATGTATTTTCTATAGCGTCCGTGTAGTACTCAGCCAGCTGCGCCTGCACCACCTCCCCATCACGTTGAACAGCGTCTTTGTATGCAACCTTAGCTAATCCTAAAACTCTCTTGCTAGTTCGAGAGAGTTTCTCCTTCCTTTGCTTAATCTTAATTTAGGCCCCTAGCAGCACCAGTCGCACTAGTATAATCACTGTACTGGTTCGTCAGCTGTTCTAAAAGGTCCCCCCAGTTACTTTCAGGATTATCATCTAAATATAATCCTATGTACTCCGATACCACCCCGTCCAAATAGTCATAAGCCAGATTCACCAACTCTTCTCTGTGTAAGTTGGTAAATTCTAGCCTTTTTCTTCAGAGCTTCTACCCAGGCCTGAAACTCACAGGCTTTCCCCGTGAATATAGGGATCTTGGACCCACTTGCAGCTACCTTAAAAATAGAGCGCGATGGAACATCTATATCCATCCTATCCATATTTCTATTAAATGCCAGCCAGACACACTAGTTATAAAACAACAAGGACCAAAAATAAAAAATAAAACAAAAGGACAAATTTTCAGCCTACCTTGCAGGGACCGGAATAGACTCCCTTTTCTGTTTCTTTCCTTTTTCTGTTTCTTTCCTTTTTCTGTTTCTTTCCTTTTTCTGTTTCTTTCCTTTTTCTGTTTCTTTCCTTTTTCTGTTTCTTTCCTTTTTCTGTTTCTTTCCTTTTTCTGTTTCTTTCCTTTTTCTGTTTCTTTCCTTTTTCTGTTTCTTTCCTTTTTCTGTTTCTTTCCTTTTTCTTTTTCTTTTCTTTTCTCTTTTTTTTCTTTTCTTCTTTTTTTCTTTTCTTTTTTCTTTTTTTTTTTCTTTTTTTCTTTTCTTTTTCTTTTTTTCTTTTTTTTCTTTTTCTTTTTTTTTTTTCTTTTTTTCTTTTCTTTTTCTTTTTTTTCTTTTTTTCTTTTCTTTTTTTTTTTTCTTTTTTTTTTTTTTTCTTTTTTTTTTTTTTTTTTTTTTTTTTTTTTTTTTTTTTTTTTTTTTTTTTTTTTTTTCTTTTTTTCTTTTTTTTTTTTTTTTTTTTTGGGATTTTTTTTTCTTTTTTTTTTTTTTTTTTTTTTTTTTTTTTTTTTTTTTTTTCTTTTTTTTTTTTTTTTTTTTTTTTTTGTTCTTTCTTTTTTTTTTTTTCTTTTTTTTTTTGTTCTTTCTTTTTTTTTGTTCTTTCTTTTTTTGTTCTTTTCTTTTTTTTCTTATTTTTTTTTTTTGTTCTTTCTTTTTTTTTTTCTTTTCTTTTTTTTTTTCTTTTTTTTTTTTTTTTTTTTTTTTTTTTTTTCTTTTTTTTTTTTTTTCTTTTTTTTCTTTTCTTTTTTTTCTTTCTTTTTTTTCTTTCTTTTTTTTTTTTCTTTTCTTTTTTTTTTTTTTTCTTTTTTTTTTTTTTTTTCTTTTTTTCTTTTTTTTTTTTTTCTTTTTTTTTTTTTTTTTTTTTTTTTTTTTTTTTTTTTCTTTTTTTTTTTTTTTTTTTTTTTTTTTTCTTTTTTTTTTTTTTTTTTTTCTTTTTTTTTTTTTTCTTTTTTTTTTTTTTTTTTTTTTTTTTTCTTTTTTTTTTTTTTTTTTTTTTTTTTTTTTTTTTTTTTTTTTTTTTTTTTTCTTTTTTTTTTTTTTCTTTTTTTTTTTTTTTTCTTTTCTTTTTTTTTTTTTTTTTTTTTCTTTTTTTTTTTTTTTTTTTTTTTTTTTTTTTTTTTTTTTTTTTTTTTTTACTTGTTCATTGCCGTCGTCCTCCTAGCTGAAGTAAAAATTTAAAAAAAATAAAAATCTCCAGTACTTGAAGTGTCCATCCTCTAAGGGTGGGAAGAAGTGTGTATCTGTCTGTCTCTCCTTTCCTGCTTCCTTTCTCTCTCTCACTCTGCATCTTTCTTTTTAACTATTCCCTTTCCTCCTTTTTCCTCTGTTTTTTTTTTTTTTATACACGTATCTGTGTCTATCGGGATTATGACTAAGTCTTCACTCATTTATGCATATATATTGAGTGTTTAATTAAACGATTCGATCTTTCCTTCCTCCAAAAAGTCTATCGTATTTTAATTTGTAAAACCAAGGTCAATCCTGGTCAGGGCACCAGTGTGAAGCTACCCACCTCTGCAACTCGTTGCACAAAGATATAGATGTTTGTAGAATTTCTGTACAGCGGATAACGAGAGGCAGGCTCACAGGTAAAAAGAAAACGCAACTATAAACTTGGGTAAGACGAAAAGAGGAGGGAGGCGTGTTAAAAAAATATGTCTTAACTAACAATGTGCTGCTAATGTGTCGCATTTTTTTATCTTTGTTCGCCTGAATCTCTCCCACAAAACCCAAAGTGCTAAATATTTCATTTAGCCTAAATGGACTCGATTCAGGGACATTGAATTCAGACCCTTTTAAGTTTTGGATTCAGAGCCGGTCTTTTTAACTATCTTCGTATTTTGACAAGTACTTAACACTTATCTACCCTTTTGGCCATATGTCCAAAACATGTTTTTATCTAGATTCCTAATCTAGTCATTGGGTCTTGAAGTTTGATACCCAGGTCAAATCTAATCTTCTCGCACATATGTGCGCCTATATCCAACTCATAGTGTCACAATATAACATATTCTTCTTTAAACACCTTCCAATCCTATGTAAAATTGCTTTTAATTCTACAATTGCATCCAAACTTTACCTGTGTTTTTTGTACCGTAATGATTTTGCATTGTCATTTTGGTTAAATTGACTGTATGGATGTACAGTCGTAGGTCAAATTATAGTCTTTTTATTGACTTCTGAACCATATCTTTATCTCCCATTTTTAAGCTGATACTCTTTTGGTGTTTCAGTTTAACTTTATATCCTTCATGCTTCAGGACCCCTTCATAATCTGACTTGGATTTATTAAATATTTAAATACATAATGCATTAGTGGATCTGTGTTTAGCCCCTATTGATATGTGTCTGAGTAGAGTACAATTTTTGGATGGTTGGATCTAACATTTATATATGATAGCACATTGTTAGGCTTTCTAAATGACTTAAAGGGTCTTTTGTTTGAATTTAATTACACATCAGACTTCATAAATATTGGCAGATTTATTACTTTTTACAAATACATTTTTTGACAATTATTTTTATATTGTTGGTCAATTTTATTTGAAAAGCATCAGATACTTTTTTTATTTATTTGATTTTATCCTGAAAACAAATCCTTGTCTTCCAATTTTGTTTTTCATAAATTTTATTACAAATCAATTTTTAAGTGTTTTAATTTAATATAATTTGTCCAGAGGGAAATATAAATTACAATACAAATTTGGTATTTGTTGTTTGCAGGAATTTGCGTGAAAAAACCAGTATTTTAGTGACTGATAGCGTATCTACATCAGAAGAGTTTGCTTTGGCAGCAGGTAAATCTTTATACTAACAGCATTTTACTTTTCTTGTTTGTCTTAAAATTATTTTTATTCCAGAATCATTTGTTTTTCTTTTCTTTTTTTTCTCCTATACAGCTGCATATTCACTTTTTTTATTCAGTATTTTATCTGTTTTATATAGGCCTTCCTTTCTGTAGACAAATTTGGTTAATTTGACATGGCTGCACATTACATTTAATGAAATTTTTCAGTTTGAAGTTCTGAATTTTTTCAAAAATATTTTTAATTTCTGATTTATTAAAATATACAAAATTAATACAGTATGACAAAAGGAACTTTTTTTTTTTTTTTTTTTTTTTTTCAGCAATTTATGACTTAAACATGTTTGTTAAATAAGCTTTTAATCAAAATAGAATTTAAGAAACACAGTATATCATGCAATACTGCTGATGGACACTTCTAAATAATTAGTTTCCAGTGACAATTAAGCATGGATCTCAGAAGCTGGGTGTAATAAATAAATTTTTACATGACCTTTTGTACAGTCATCGATGTTCATTATATATATATATATATATATATATATATATATATATATATATTTTTTTTTTTTTATTATTTACTTATTTATTTATTAGATGTTCATTTTGAACTTATTTCTTGAGCATTTAATTCATAAAAAATAAAACATGATGCCTAAAAGAATTCTTTGAAGTAGAATATATTTTATGTTCACTGTGAAGTATAGAGAAGAATTTAAGTATTTCTGTTGTCGGAAACCTACCACCCCTCTTGAAGATGAACTTGTCTGTGAACAAAGACTTTAAATAGTGGCATGTCAGTTGACATGGGGGAAGACAGATAGACAGAGAAGTTCTTAGCTGAGCTAATTATTGACTACTCAGGCGATTTCTGTACCTTTTTACCAACCTATTAAAACCCTTTTTATTGTTACGTGTTATTTGGCATTTGTCTCTACTAACTCCAAATCATCATCATAACAGTGGCAACGAGAGATTCGTTCATCACGCTGAGTGGAGAATTTTTCAACTCTAGGTGGACTATATAAATTTTTTTTTTTTTCTTGCTCTGAAAAAAAAAAAAACAAAGTTCCCCGAACTTTGTTCTTCACAAAAGAAATGGGATTTCAACGTGCCAAAAGAAGTAAGACTTGTGCTTATTATTGGATATATTTTGTTTTTCCCTTTTGTCTGTTTTCGAAAAAGTGTTTTTTGTAATCTATTACGGGATAATGGAAGATTTGATTGCATTAATCTAAAACTCTAGTGCAAATTCAGCAACAAGAGCAACAAAATTGTTTGGGAACAACTATTGGATTTACAAGTTCAATTATTTAAATGACACAAAGGTTTTATATGAAGTGATTTTACTTAAGAATCCAGTAAATTCGTCATTCACAGCCGAAGTTAAAAAATTAATTCTATTACTGAGTTCAAATTTAACCCAGAGGAGGGCATAACATTTTCCGCGTATTTCAGAAGATTTGAAACAAAATGTGAAGGTTGGACTGATGAACAAAAGTGAGTTTACTTTTACAAAAGTTGGGTACAGATGAAAATAATAAATATACGAATTTTGTCCTTCCAAGAAAAAACTGGTGACATTTCTTTCAAGAAACTTAATACTTTATCTAGTATTTTTATGAAAATGAGTTAGTTTGTTTCATACTCTCTTTTCGTGGTTTGAATATGGTAAAAGCATGACAATGAGGATGTTGTTACGTATGCTGGAAATGTTAACAGAATGTGTGACTGTTTTATGTTACATGATCTTTCAATTGATCGATTTAAATGTTTGATATTCGTTCAAGGCTTGACTTCTAGCAAAGATAAGGACATAAGGTCCCGAATATTGGCAAAACTCGAACAAAATTCCGAGATCACTTTGCACAAGGTTACGGAAGAGTGTCAAAGAATTGAAAACTTGACAATACGCAAATTGAAGAAAGACATATCCCGTGTCCATGCTATTTGACCAAAAATGGGAATAGTTAATAAAAATGTTAAAAAACCAACATGCTTTGGATGCAGTGGTGGTCATTTTAAAAGTGAATGTTTTTTTGTTTTTTTTCGCGACAAAAATTGCTATTTGTGTGGCAATAAAGGCTATATAAGTACTCATTGTAAAAGCAAAAGAAAAAAAATTTAAGTTAAAAAAGATAATGTGAATATTATGTTGTCACGTCAGGAGATTGAGGATGGGCAGATAAAAAAAGAAAATTCATACAGGTAAAAATTAATGGAAAAAAATGTTAAACTACAGCTAGATACTGGAAGTGATATTTCCATTATTAATACAGCAATATGGATTAAAATAGGCAGACCTTTGCTTAAAAAGACTGAAAAAAAGTGGCTCATGGATTTCTGGAAGAAAATTGCATCTTCAAGGTGAATTTTCTTGTAATATTTAATTTGTTGGTAAGACACTAAAGTCTAAAGTGTATGTGCTACAAAATGCTTCAAATTTGTTTGGAACAGATTGATTATACTTTTTTTAATTTATGGAACTCCCTATAAATTCTTTTTGCAATAGAATTAATGTTCTTCATGTAAGAATCGGGTTACAGAAAATTTGTTGAAAGATCTGAAAATAAAATTTCCACAAGTATTTTCAAAAGGTCTTGGATGTTGCAAAAAGACGAAGGCAAAATTTGAAGTGAAGGAAAATGTAAAACCTATTTTCAAAGCACTAAAAAAAATGTGCCATTTGGTGTTTTGGAACAGATTAACAAAGAATTGGAACGGCTTGAAAATTTAGGAGTTATTTCATGCATTGAATTTTCAGAGTGGGCCTACCCTGTTGTATGTGTTAAGAAAAAGAATAATAAAATTCGGATGCATGCCGATTTCTCTACGGGTCTAAATGATTGCTTAAAAGACCACACATATCCTTTGCCTTCACCAGAAGACATTTTTACAAGTTTAAATGGAGGAAAAATATTCTCTAAATTGGATTTATCGGATGCCTATCTCCAAGTGAAAGTGGACGAAGAATGTTCTAAATTGTTGACTATCAATACACACAAGGGTTTATACAAATTAAACCGTCTGCCTTTTGGTTTAAAAGTATCCCCTAGTATTTTTTCAGCAAATTATGGACACTGTGCTGGCAGGGTTGGACTTTGCCATTGCATATCTTGATATTTTGATAAAAAGTAAAGATTGAAATGAACATTTTGGAACATATTAATCAGGTTTTTGAAAAAATTGAAGAATATGGATTCAAACTTGGAGCTGAAAAATGTGAATTTTTTATGAGTGAAATTAAGTTTTTGGGGCAGATAATAGACTCTAATGGAAGAAGACCAGATCCGGCGAGGGCAGAAGTGATCAAAAGCATGCCAACTCCCAAAAATGTAACACTACAAGCGTTCTTAGGACTTGCTAACTATTATGGGATATATATTCTAATTTGTGCAGCTTTAGGCTCCATTAAATAAATTGCTTAAAAGGGAGCAAAGTGGGAATGGTCAGAAGTGTCAGAAGGCATTTGACAAAATAAAGAATATTTTTTTTTTGGGAATTATCACTAACACATTATGACCCTAAACAGGAAATTATAGTGGCAGGTCCTAAAATTATACGGAATAGGTGCGGTAATTCTGCATAAATTCAGAGACGGCAATCTGAAGCCAGTGGCACATGCATCAAGGACATTATTACCCGCAGAAAAGAAGTACTCTCAAATTGAGAAAGAAAGCTTAGCTATCATCTATGCTTGTAAAAAAAATTCCATAATTACATACATGGAAGAAGGTTTATATTGCAAACCGTTTGCAACGATGAGGAACCATTTTGTTGAATTACAATTTCAAAATGGAATTTTTATCATCTAAAAAATTAAGCCATGCTGATGGTTTATCTAGACTGATCCCAACATCTTCGGAACCGCTAGAAGATATGGTGATAGCGTTGTTACAAGCAGAAAATAAATTGGTTGAAGTAATGTATAACACAGTAAAAGAATTACCGGTGACATTAGATGAAATAAAATTAAAAGCAGAAAACGACATTTTTATTAGAAAAATGAAAGTTGTAACTTCAGAAAAGTATAAAACATCTATAAAAGCGGATTTTGAAGGAATTTCAACAGGGGCATCCTGGTATTGGACATATGAAAGCCCTGATGAGGAGTTACATTTATTGGCCAATTATGGACAAAGACATTGAACAGGTAGTTAAAACTTGTAGAGGGTGTCAAATGGCAGCGTTAAAAGCACCGCCAGTAAAATACACATCATGGCCAAAAAAACAGATGTTCCATGGACCAGACTCCACATAGATTCCACATAGATTATGCTGGACCCATGAATGGTAATTTTTACTTGATAGTTGTGGATAGCTATTCCAAGTGGCCTGAAATTTTTAAGTGCAAAAGACCAACTGCTTCTGTAACAAAAAGATTTTCTTACAGAACTGTTTGCACGTTTTGGAGTACCAAAAAAAATTGTCACCGACAATGGAACTCAATTCACAGGAAGTGAATTTAAGACGTTTTGTAAGACTCGAATTGACCACATCAACGACTTCACCGCACCATCCTAGGTCAAATGGACAGGCTGAACGGTTTGTTGATACGTTCAAGAGAGCCCTAAAAAAAACAAATGGTACTAATAACAGATGATGGTAATATACAGCAGTTTTTAAGTATTTTAAGAATAACACCAAATCCAAACATAATATCAGGGATGCCTCCAGCTGAACTGATTTTTGCTAGAAAAAATTAGATCTGTATTCAATAGGCTGCTGCGAAAGAAAGAAGAGTTACCAGAACAAAACGCATCAGGAAAATATGAAATATCTCAGGCCGAGATAGTTTTTTTAAAATTACAAAAATGGGAAGGAATTTTGGCAAGATGGAGTGGTAACTCAAAGAATTGGTAAGATGTTATACATGATAAGAAGTAAAAAATGGACGCACAAAAGACATTTGAACCAATTAAGGAAAAGAATCATTGAAGAAATAAGTAAAGAAAATGAAGAACCAATGGAGGTATTATATGATTTATTGAAATACCAACTCCACCATTGCCTGAAACAGTTGTCCAAAGAAGGACAAGCAAAAGAAAATAAACTAGGTGGAACATTTAAGTCCAGATCCAAAAAGGAAAGATATTAATTCCTCGGAATTAATCTCAAAGGGGGAGGTGTTGTGTCGGAAACCTACCACCCCTCTTGAAGATGAACTTGTCTGCGTCTGTGAACAAAGACTTTAAATAGTGGCATGTCAGTTGACATGGGGGAAGACAGACAGACAAAAGTTCTTAGCTGAGCTAGTTATTGACTACTCAGGCGATTTCTGTACCTTTTTACCAATCTATTAAAACCCTTTTTATTGTTATGTTATTTGGCGTTTGTCTCTACTAACCCCAAATTAACATCATAACAATTTCATATATTTTTATTTTGTTCCATGTTAAGGCTTACGTAGACGTACGAGATCAGTTGGACCGCAAGACTCTTCTGCTTTGTTGAATCAGTTACGGCAAGAGGAAGTAATCCGAGAAAAGAAAGCTCGTAAACAGCATATGGAGGAACGACGAGCTGCTCAAGAAGCTCATGTACAAGAAATAATTGGATGGGAAGATATCTTGCTGGAAGAACCATTGAATTCTCAAATGAGGGCCATGTGGGAAGTGAGTAAATTAAATTTTAGTTAATCTAACCAATTTTTCTGAGTCATTTCTTCAGTCTTATTTTTTTTTTTTTATAAGTGTATATAGATCACTCTAATTGCATAGTAATTGTTGCAATCCTTCAAAAATGTTCTATTATAACTGAGCCTAAATAAAGATTTACTGCTTTTATATTTTGTTTCTGGTATTTCAATTTTCAATTTAAACCATTTACACAGACTTTAATTTATTTCTTAGATAAATTCGTATGGAACTGTTTAAAATATTTATTGAATAAAGAAAATTATATTTTAAGTCTTAAAACAAATTAGTTTTACTCCTAATTAATGATTTTAAAGAAAAATAATTATTGTAATGATTAATGTAAAACTAAGGGGAAGTTGCCAGATTATCTTTAAGCAGTGGTTAGTAATTATCTACTTGAAGGAATACTTTTCCTTCAGAAGAAAAAATTACACAAGTATTTATACACACATGCAAATATGCATATATACAATTACTGTGAGGAATAAATATTGTCAAATTAGTTGACGGCACCACATTCTAAACTATTAACTATAGCAACCTTGTTCTCTAGGATTTCTTGACAATTTGCATATTGTCTTCATCCTCCAAAATGAACACTGAGAGATATATATATATATATATATATATACACACACACACACACACACACACAAAACATCTACACTTCTGATGTAACCTTGGTTCCATCTAACTACTGAAAACCAATGCATAGTGCAGACATGACTTTCCATTGGATCGTTTGGCTTCTATATTCAGCATATTGACAAGAATTGGTGGGAATGACCAATCACTAGTGAATTAGTTTAATTTGAACTTAAATACCAGCATGTTTATTGCTGTAAACAGCAGTTACATTGTACTCAACTCACAAGCTATTTACTTCTTTCATCTTCTCCTATTCTCTTTCAAGAACCTGGATTTAATGACAAAGTAGTGTGCTGGAATTCAGCAACCATGGCAATGTTTTCAAATATTTGTAAAGATAGTGGTGAAATGTATTGACGTATGAAAAAGCAAGATTGGTCATTCATGCTATCACCATTAATACCATACACTGCTCTGTAGAATATTCTAGTATTCCTAATCTGCACTGTTCACCTCTTGATCACGTACACTCTAAATTCAACCTGAATAACTCCTTAATTTAACAAAATATACTGTTTGGGTGAACTTGTATGTAAACAGTTAAATATCAAAATCAAACAGATCATTACTTTTAACTCCTAATTGGTATTGTTTGGAAGAAGCAGAAAAATCACCTTTCTTGCTTAAATGGGACAAAATATATTCATTTTTAGAACCAATTTTTTTCCAAAATTTATATAATTTTAGAAGAGTACTTTTGCTAAAATAACATTAGAATATGTTTAATTTACATTGACAAAATTTCACTTTTCAACCCAAATGGAAAATACCTTTTAATTTTCTTTCTCTTTTTTTAAGATTTTGCAATATAAATAATTAGTGAACTAATCTAGTGAATATTAAATGTTACTCATTTAATAGTTTCTCATCTTCTGCTAAAAAAAAAAAAAAAAACTTATGCAAAATACTTACTACAGACTAATGTCTAGAACGTACAAATCCGGAAAAAGGCATTGTCAGTGATTAAAAATTAATGTAGACATTGCTGACAAATAGAATAAAACTATTACAATATTGGTTTAGCCAAAAATTCTGCTCAGTATATAAAGTAAAAATAAATGACAATTTTGTTTTTATTTTTAATATTATTGTACTACATACTGTTTGTTCCACTATCTTCTGCCTTTTTTCAGGCAACTTCAAAATTTCATCTTTCTACAACTTTTATTTTTACTAGCAAAGAAATTTTTTTCATTAAGAGAATTTTGTAAAGATGAATAAATAATAATCTGGAGTTCCAACATCTAGTGAATATGCCAGGCGAATGAAAACTTACCAGCCATGCTATAAGTTTTGCCTGGCCACCAAAGAAACGTGCACTCTAGCAGTTATATAGTCAATATGTTAGACTATAAACAGATGTGATTGTATATGTCGGTTAAAGCTTGTAGTAACACATATATAAGGGTTTTCCATATCTAAGACAAAGCCATATTGAACATATAAGTTACCTTGCTGTACTACTATCATGTAGATATTACAACTGACAACATTGGATACGACTGCTGTTAAGTATAACGAAACATGTCAAGTTCTGACCTACAGTCAACATAATTTTCAATTTTACATTTTGAATTTGTATGGCATAAATGTAAGTAATGAAACTTAACTCATAGATTTTAAAACTATTGTTATTTTATATTAAAAAAAATTACTAATGTAAAGTGTTTTTTTTTTTTTTTTTTTTTTAGAAAGTTCACATTCACAGTTAATAAAGATAACATATTTTTACGTTAGGAGAATTGCTCTGCTCCATATATTTTTTTCAGATTGTTTTGAAGACCATGTTTCAATCAAGATATTGTCTAGCCTTGCTCTCTTTTTTTTTTCTTTTTTTTTTTAACTAGAACGTCATAGTCCAGAGTATTAAGATCTTTTGTGTTAGGTTGGAAATGTTCATAGTATCAATATAGGGGGCTTTAAATTTTTTTAATCATTTCACCTCAAGCAAGGCAATAAAGCCACTAATACACAAGGGCTTACTGTGCAAGGAAGAATATAAGGGAAAAAAATTGCTAAAATTAGTTTTCTGAGAAGTATTTTATATATAGTATAAAACTTCTACTTGTGGTTTGCTTATTCATTCTTTTCACATTCATGTGATTTTTTTTTTTTTTACTTTACAGACATCCCATCATTGTTCTTATCTCTACCTCATTCCACAGAGAGCAATTTACCTCACTTTCTTTTTGCACATGCCTCTTTCACCTTATCAGCCCATCTTGACAGTATTTCCAAGTTGAGCATTTTAAAACCAGACTAAATATTTTTTGAAAAGTTTTAATCTCCCCAGTAAGGTTTTCCTTTCATTACTGTATCAAGATATTGTATTATACCTTTTGATTTTCTTTTATTATTGAGCTGAGTAGCTGCTTTAAATTTGGTTCATTTTTCTTTCAACACAAAAAAATATTTTTATCACTTCCTTTTAGAGTGTTCTTTCATTTTTTTAATTTTTTTTTCCTGTCAGTCACATATAGACATGAACTCAACTTTCACATAACATTATGCTGTGCTGTTAGCACTTTCTTTTTACATTTTGCAATCTGTAGTTGTCATGACTGCTGATGTTGTTAAATGTTCAGTAAATGCACTGTCATAGAAAAAAAAAACATGGATCGGTGTTTCAAAGTAGGAGTACATAAAATTGTCAATAAAAATAGGTAAAAAAAAGTCTAACTTTCCCTTTTAATAAGCTGCTAGAGTAAAAACAATTCACAAGCAAAGTTAATAATTAAGTTAGCAAAAATGCAATTATTTTCAAAGTTAATGATGAAACTCTCATAACTTGTCTTAAGTAAACACTTTCATATGTACAACTTTAAAAATTGTACTTTTATTTCCAAGATTATATGATTCTTGCTTGGACCTCCAAATGATATTTCCTAGTAATGTTTCTCAATTTTTATTTACACGTACTTGCAGCTAGCATAAAAAGTATGTGCAAATATGGAAACTTTTTTAAAATATTGCCAAAAATGTTTTTTAAAACATTACTTTTCCATTCAGTGTCTCCACCTTTCTTTTATTTATGCACATGACAGGTAAAGTTTGTGAATCTTGACATAGTGAAACAATTTTGTTGAAAATGGATGTATATATTAATGGAAGATCACATAAAACGAGATATTCGTTACTGATTAAAAAGTATAGGCTTTCGAAGGAATAATTATAGCAAGTTTCTTTGGTGTTTTTTTTTTTTTTTTTTTTTTTTTTTAAAACTATCAATTCCTATTTTAATATTTGGAGTAAAATATTTCCAAATATATGATTGGAAAATTTCCAAGAAATTACAATACAAATGTGACTTTAGTTATTGATGTAGTATCAAGTATTATTTTTCTTTTAAATAGATAATATTCATAATATCAATTTAAATTTTAATTAGTAATATTTATATCAAACAAGTCATACAAATTTATAGACTTGATATATGGTGCCAAATCTCCTTTTTTTTTTTTTTCTTTCCTAAGTTATAACTTGTCAGTTAATGGAAATATATGGAGCATATTTTTTTTTTTTTTTATGTGTAATTAAAATATGTCCTTTAATTAAAAAATCTCATTGTATTAAGACTAAATATCAGAAAAAATTGTACTGTCATTTGAAATCGAGTGATATATTAGTTGCAATTTCCATTTAAACAAAAAAAAAATAGTTGGTTTGAACAGAGATTTCAGAAAACAGATAAAAAATTTCAGTTAACATATGAAACACAAAAGCATATGGCAATAAGAGCAGTTTGGAGCAAACTAGAACCAGCCTTCCTTTAAATAAAAGTTCACAGAAAATGAAAAATTGAAGATATTTCAATATGTTCTGTTGATAGAACTGTCTTTTTGGCTTTCTTCTTGCCAGATTTATTAATGAACTTATACACATCTTGTTTTTATGGCACTCCTTTTCAACTTAATCATATAAATGGTCTGTAAAGAGGGTGTGTGTATATAAAATTATATTTATAAATGAATAATTGAGATTTTCTCTCATTCAGAGGAATTAAAGAAAAGTATTATATGGTCTTCTATTACTTCAAATATTATCTTGCATCATTTTGAAATTTATTCTTGCAATATTCCAGCTACCTCAAATTGGTCATTTCTTATTTCTGTGCCAAGAACCTCTCTATTTGGCTGAAGTACCACAGTATGAACTTGAGCGATGTTTTCTGATGGCTCGTGAGAGTACAACTATGCAAAGAATCATGAGCTCATTACTAAGCACTCCTCATCAAAGAACAAAGTAAGTTCTTTTTTTTTTCCTTTATGTAATCTAATATATATATATATATATATATATATAAGTTTTGTCTCTGTATAAATAAACCTTTCTGCTGAACTAATTAAAACATAGAAATCAGACCAAAAAATCATGCTGATTCTATTGTAAGTAGCATATTTGCCAGCCTACCGAACGTAGGTTTTGTCCCCCAAAACATGCACCAAAAAATTACCTTGTGTCTAATACAGCAATATCATGTATGAGGGGGACATGAAGACCACAAAAAAGTGGTGTTCACCAGGAATGAGTCAATGCATAGAGCTTAGCTCTGAAACTAGGACTCCTGGAAGTGAACAAACACAATATTAATAAAAATATCCCTGAAAAATTCACCCAGGAAATAGAAATTAAGAAATTTATAGAATTGCACAACATTCTGCTGCTTGTTTTGTAGAAATACCAGATTTTACAGAAATATTTGCATTGACTGGTATATTGCTGCTTGCTTCATGTGTGTTTTTGTTGATATACAGCTATTGGAATTTGCTTTTCTGGTTATGTGATATGGGACTTCATTTACCAACAAATACCATATTTCTGGGGGGGGTTGTTTTTTTGTTTTTTTTTTTTGGCCTATTACTATATGTATCCGTGTCCACTGATACCAGTAGATTTCTTTGTAACTATTATGAATTTACTGTATATGCAGATGTTGTTCTCTGAAAAACAATGAAAACAATTTTCAATAAATGCATGAGAAAATGTACTAAAATTTTTTTCAAAAAATGTCCTGATGATTAAACCATACCTCACTTCTGTTAAAAAAAAAAAAGCACTATTAGTATAATTTGTGCTAATACTATGTTTCTTCTTCATTAGTGAGAATGTCACATAAAGGTAAGGTCATAATTTTTTGGTTGTATTGTGTGCATCTTTATTTCCTAAATATTCTATACCAAAATCTGGGTGTGTCTGATAGACCAGCAAATATGGTAATTTTATCTTAACACAAGATTCACAATCACAAGTCCTATAATCCATTAGGGTCATAGGTGCACTACCTGTACTGCAGCAGTGTGTGTAGGGCTAATGGAGACTCACTGTTTAGGTTGATTTTAAATTCAGTTATCTTTCTCGCCACTCAAGGCTAGAGAACCTAGTCTGTTCTGCAAATTTAACCTAGCTCACCAATTCCACCACTATCTCCATGAGATTACTATAGAGCACAAAAGTATTTATTTACTTAAACTGTTCTATGCATTAGAATCAAATTTTCATCAATTCAAATAATTTACTTTTTTGTTGCATGACATGGAGCTCCATTCTTCGTTAAATGATTTGTTTTGGTTCAAATAACAATCAATGAATATTAGCAGAAGTCAGTCTTGTTGAATGGTTATTTCTTTTTGAATTGATATTCCCCACAAATTATTAGAAACTTTGAATGTATAGTGTCCTAAATTGCTTCTTGCATCATAATATCAAATCTACTATATTTGATATGCATGTGGTTCAAATTTTTTCATTGGCCTTCTCCAGGTCTATATTCATTTACTATTTGAAAACTGAACAAATGAAAAGTTATATGAAAAGTGTGTATAAAAATTCCTAGAATTTATCACTTTGTTACCCACTGCTTTCTCTACTGTATGTTGACTAGTTTAAGAGATTACTTTCTTTTGACTGGTCTGCTATAACACATGCAATTAAGATACTGTATTCTTTTTCTAGACTGGTTACAAATCAAGGGTAGAGAATTCACATTGCCTTGCTATTTTACCTATATTTGTTAAGGAGTAGAGGTTATTTATGCCTTTTCTATTAGTGCAGATTAAAACATACTGTCTAATCTGAAATTTGAACTTTACTTGATAATTCCATTTTCTGCATTGTTAACCATTAATCCACTTGCACTTCACTTAATTTGGGTAACTTCCTCAAAAAATCATAACAGCCATTCATCATTTATACATAATTTTTATTTATCAATTATTCAGTAAGTGGTAGTACAACTTTCACAAACCATTTAAATTGGGAGATAAAAAATTATCTTAATTTTAGAACATAAAATTTGAAGGATTTGTCTAATTTCTCTTATCCAGCAGTATAAACCTTATATATATATATATATATATATATATAACATGAATTAAATTAAAATTTTTACTGCAAAACTTTGGTGGCCATCAATTTCTTTCAATTATTCATAAATAAATACATCATGTAAGGAAGATTATTAACAAATAATCACTGATTTTGAAATGAAGGTCAAGATTTTTTTAAACTTGTTTGGTACAGTGGGTTCAAAAGAATATTGAAGGTTTTGATGTTTGATTTATATAAATGCTCTTTTGAGGATATTTTAGATTATTTGATTACTTAATTTTAAAAGTACAAACACTCAACATTCATGCAAAATGTTTGATTTATGACTGAAAAACTTTTGGCAGTTTTTCTAAACTAACCTGAATATACTACTTAGGTTAATTTGAATGATAGGTGGTCATCATATATAATTAATCCTTAGTTTATATAATTTTTTTTGTATTTTATTAAGAAAAAATGTATTTTCTAGACTCTACAATCATCGCCATCGGATGCCTTACAGAATTTGGGAGGAGAAATTACAAATGAAGGTGAAATATTGGTATGATGTTCTTGAATCATTTGGAGGGAATGTAAATAAGGTAATTTAGAAATTGTTTCCTTTTAATTCATGTTTAATCAAGGAAATCAATATAAGAAAAAGAAATTATTGCATATTTTTATTTAGTATAAATTTAATTTTTATATTTTATTTATGACCATAAAACAAAATATTACAAAAATTTAGCAACTTTTTATTTGAACCACTTTATCGGTTTAAATATCTTGTACTGAAATGTTAACAGTATCTAAATCAATCTTGACAATAATTTTAATTTATAATCACTATCTTAAATTGTCATTAATATAACAAGCTTCATCTGAAAGCTATAAAATTGTAACAAAAATAAATTCTGATTGTATCAAATTTAAGCTCAGATTCTAATTCCATAATTGCAATATATAATTTACTTTATTCTTTCTTTAAAGGCAGCAGATAAATTAGGTCTTGAGCCTTTTGCCTTTGAGGTTATGGGTAAGTAGACTTGATAAAATGTCATTTGACTAGAATATTTTTTATAAATATATATTATGAATTAAAAAAAAAAAATACTCATTTTATCCTTGTATTTGTAATTATAGTGTTTATTACTTTCACAGTATGTATGCCAAATGTGATTTAACCCTTTGATCCTAATGGCACATATGTGTGTATGAAGTAAAAAGTACATACCCCCGGTGACTCCATGAACTCGTCCAATACTATATCTCCATGTTATGAGGTCCAAAGCAGTCATATTGGAGTCAATCTTCATATTAATTATACAGGCATTACGGCAATAGCCTAAGCATTATGTATAGAGAATACTTAAGAAATTATATCAAGTATGTGTTAATAATCCAACAATAGGACGTTATAATAATTGGCAACAAGGAACTCTAACAAAAATGTGGGATAAAATCAACATTATAACTGAAGTTATAATAGTGAGGAACTCAAGCATGGTTATAACAAGCACAACATTATAACAGGAGTTATAATAAGTACTTCCATGAGATCACTAAAAAAAGAGCATAGCATGATTAAAAAGACGCCAAACTTGACAAAAACAACATTTTACCGTCTAAATGTTTATTATTAACAGGAAAGATCAAAGTATTTTTGGGGTATTTTTTTACATTTTTTAATCATAGCACGTCCGAAATTTTCGTTAAAATTTTTTTTTTTTTTTTTTTTTTTTAAGTCAGCAAAATTGACCTTTTTTTTTTTTTTCCATTTTATAAAAAAGACTGGAAATCTCAATTTGAAATTCTTTTAAATATCAATTATCATTTTTTCAAAACTTATTTTAAGAAAATCAGAAATTATAATGTTTATTTAAAATATTTTGAACCAAGCTTAACTTAGCTTCTGTGCCAAAATGATGTAATTTGAAAATAAAACAAAGCAAGTCATAAACTTTCGTGTCACTTGACAGGTGATGAATGACATATTGACGGATTCCGTGAGGATAATTTGTTCTACGAAAGGAGAAAAGTGAAATAATTTACATTTAAGTGAACAAATTATTTACCTCATTATTTTTAAGAAAAACTTTCAGCGCTCTAATTTTTTTTTTTGTACTTAGCTTTCACCTTTACGTTTATGATGCTTTATGGAAAATATAAAGAAATTAAAATAAGACTGTTAAGAGCGAGTTTAAATTTCATAAGAAAGGTATCTAATTAATTTATAGATACCTTTCTTATGAAATTTTATCAGAAGTGTACATAAAATACTATTTTATGTACATCTATTACATGTTGTTTATATTTCCATTCATTTTATTATTAATTTTGATATTTCATTTATGGAAAAATGTCATAACTGAGATTAATATAAAAATAAGATCATATGAATTTCATAAGATGATACTGATACTTGTAGGTACCCTTCTCAGTTGAAATTGAAAAATCAAATTAACTTCTCCACACGTTTCACAAAAGTAAAGGCCTTAAGAGCAATGTTTAACTCAAATAACACAACTTAATTGTATTCTGGTTGGTTTTCTGTACTTTATAATTACAGTCAAATTGTAAACACAAAATTACATTTCTTAATTACTGTGGATCTTCTGATTAGTCAAAATGATACAATTTGCGTGTGCTAAAAAAAAAAAAAAAATCTCTCCTAAGGACACTTAGGAAACCCAATGCGGCTTTTAACTAATTTTATATTTTAACAACTTAAATGTAAAAATCTATTATAATTAAGAAATAACAAATGATTGTATTAAAAATTCATTTTTCATTGAAAAAATATTTTGTTTTCAGAAAATATTGTCCATATTCATAAAAACTAAAAGCATTTGAAACTAAATAATATATTTGTTTTATTGAGTTTTGTATGTTACAATTCAGAGCTGATTTTCAGGTAGGTGGGGTCCAATTAAAAACAAAAAACATGATTTGCATTCCTCAAAGCCTTGTGCTTTTAACTATTGTAATCACTAAACCTGATGAAATCAAATTTCTAGCATTTTCATAAAATTAGTTATGGGGGGTAATAAATATAAAAAAAAATATTTCTGCCATGACTTTTTAATAAAAAAAAAACAAAAAAAAAAAAAAACATAATTTCGATCTGTGAATAGTTCCTGAAAGTTTCATTAACATCCAACAATTATTTTTATTTTTGCAAGATTTTCCAAATTAATGTTTCATACCAAAAACAACGTGCTAAAAATTGTCTGTTATTTTACTAGTTCCGGTGATACAAAGAGAAACAAGTTTTTTTTAATCAAAATGTAGAATGTTCTATAAAGAAGGAAAAATTTAAAAATAATTAAAAAAAAACTTTGGTCTTTCCTCTTAATGATAACATAAGCATTTAAACGATAAAATTTTGTTTTCGGCAAGGTTGGCATCTTTTTTATCAAGCTATGCGCTTTTTTTAGTGATTTCATGGAAGTACCTATGTTATAATATTGGGCAACCTGATTATTTTAAACTCGGATGTGTGCAACAGGAGTTACAAGAATTTCAAAAAACGTCTTTTTTTTTTTTTTTTTTTCTTAAAAAAAAAAAAATCTTGTAGATATGGAAAAAAATTTGGGCTTCAATAGTTGAAATTCAGTAACAACAACAACAGAAGCAACAGCAACAAAATAGCCAACAGTTGCTACAGTTACAAAAACGAGTTGTTGGAAGTGGTTTTGAAGAAAAATGCTTCGTCTCTTATGCCAGATGTGATGCAAATCACCATATCAGAATTCATATTCGATGGATTGACTTTTGATGCATATTTTCAGACATGAAGAAATGTTTAGTCATGAATGCAATAGTTGGGAAGAAGATAAAAAAAAAACAGGCTGTTAAGAAAAATGGTGTCAATAGAGTATGAAAAGTACTGCAATTATATTTTACTGAGAAAACCTGGTAAAATAGGGTTTAAAGTCATAGTACACATTCTGACGATAATTTTTAGTGACAAGTACTCTCTGTTCCATGCATGAATTTAACCAAAAAAAAAAAAAAAGAGGAAGACTTTGTCATGTATGTGGGTACCATTTAACAAAAAATGTGAACAATTTAAACTAAAGGAAATGACTCTGGATATGTTCAAGGCATTAATTTTCATACAAGGTTTAACAGCAGGCAGAGATGCTGATGTACAAACAAAAATTTTAGCAAAGATTGAACATAATAATAATGTTCTAAAAATGCAACAAATCTATTTGGTTCAACTGGTATTTGGCGTTAAACATTTATTGTAAAAATCTAAGTGGACATGCAACAAATTTAAAAAGTCAGTAAAAAACTGAAGGAACAATTTTTAAAAAAAAAAAAAGTAAAATGGGCTGCATTATCAGTGTATGTAAGGGGGGGGGGATGAAAAAAATTCATGTTTGTGGATTTTTCTACTGGATTAAATAGTTGTCTCTAAACGCACAATTACCCATTACCTAGTCCAGAAGAAATTCTTTCAAAGCTGAATGATGGAAAAAATATTTTCAAAGTTTTGATCTCTGAAGCATATTCACAAATTCAGATTGAAAATCAATGTTCTGAATTGACAACCATTAATACGCACAGAGATTTATACAAGTTTAATCAACTTCCTTTTGATATAAAAATAGCACCAGCAATTTTTCAATAAGCCATGGATACCATGCTGGTGACATATCTGGACAATATTTTGATCAAGAGTGTGTCAAAAGAAGAACATGTTGGGCATGCCAAAACATTTATACAAAAACTAAGAATACGGATTCAAGCTTAGTGAAGAAAAATATGAATTGTTTTTGCCAAAAATAAAGTACCTGGGTCAAATTATTGATAAAAATGGTAGAAAACCAGATCCATCAAGGACAAATGCAATTAGAAATATACCTACACCAACAAACAACTATGTTACAAGCTTTTTAGAACTGGCTAATTATTATCGAATTATGTACATTATATACATAATTTGACAGCTCCACTTATGTCTGATTTATCACTAGCATACTACAATCCTCAAGCAAAAATTGTATATCATCAGATGCTGTGGCAGATATGAGACAGAACCTGGGACGAGCACAACTGGTTGCGACTTGCCTTGTCCCCGCAAAAAAAGAGCCCGTATTTGCTTGGCATGTAAAGCTACTGCAGTTTAAATGAGGGAGAGAAAAAAGCACTTACCGCTCTGCCATAATCCGTCCTTGGCCAGATAACGTAAAAGAATGAGGGGGGACTTGCATTGCATTTTTATGCAATAAAGATGCAATGCATTATGGGACAGGGACGCAATGAATTATGGGATCACATGAAGACGCAAGGGATTATGGGTATATGGACAAATATAAAAGCAACTACTTTTCCCCAGTGGGGGAGGGGGGGGAGTTCTTCCAGTGACTGTTTATCGTTATTTTTTTACCGTTACTGACAGCTCTATCGCTCGACTCCTTTTCGTTGGAATTAACCTTTTGAACTCCATTTTGGTTAAGTTTATTTTTACATTTTTGCGACTGCATTGAAAAAGTTTTTTGATTTTTTTTTTTTTCTTCTCTCCATTTTATTTTTACCCCCACCTTTAATTTTTGCTCTTTTTTTCTTTTTATTCTAGTTTTCCCTCTTTAATTTTCATTTTCTTTAATTTCTTTTTTTTTAAATCTATCTTCGTGGTCTTTATTCTGTGTTTCGCTTTAATTTTTGATTAATTTATTTTTAATTGTAGCTTTCCATCCTTTAATTTTTACCTGTTTTTTGTTTGTAAACGTTGTATTGTCCAATTTATTTGCTTATTTTCTTTTGTTTATTGGTTCGACTCGCTTAGGGTCGGCCATTTTGATTTTTGTAACTAGCTTCGGCTATTGTTCCTCGTTTCGTAATTTTTATTGATGTCGGCCATTTTGATTTTTTTTTTTTAACTAGCTTCAGCTTTTGTCGAAGTTTTGTTTATTCTGTTTTTTATTGTCTAACACTTTTTATTTAATTGTTTACTTTCTTTTACGTGTTTTCTTTTATTGTTTCGCCTTTATGCGATATTTGTCCTTTGTTTATTTTCTATTTTTGTTATATGTATAAGTGAACCATGGTTTTCTCGTCTTTTTAGTGTGTGCATAATTATTTTATTTTGTTATCTTGCTTTCGGGTGAGCTTGTTTATTTTTTGATTTAATTTTTTTTTTTTTTTTTTTTTTGCCCATAAATTTGTTTAACTATTTCCCCCCTTTTTCTCCCCTTCCCTTCTCTGTTAAAAAATGGATAAGAAGGAAAAAAAGTTCCTTCGTTTATAATTTTGAAAAAGCCTAAAATTGCTACTTTTAGATGCACTATGAGGAAACACCTCTTTAACCCAAAAAAAGATCCCCCGGACAAAGAGAATAAGGATGAATATCCTGATCTGCCCACAATTCCAACAAATGATGAAATTGTAGAAGTACTGAAAAAAGCCTCCAAAAATATGGAGGCCGGAAAAAAACAAGAATAGTGACCAAGTAAAGGACAACTGCTAATGCAGAGGCCGGGAAATTGCCCTCTTGTTGGAAGTCCCCTCCTAAATGCATAATCGACATTGCGGAGTTCTTGGATCATGCCAAGGGTTACACACACCTTAAGGTGGGCTCTTGCAGGATCCAATAGAACTAAAGAGTCGAGAAAAGAACAGTGTCAGTTTTGTCGTTTATGTTTATCTTGCAAAATTTGTCGTTCGACTAAAGACACCGTGTTCAAATCACTGGAGTCCCTGGGGTTTAAGCCCCTCCAAATTGTTAAGGGCAAGGGATTTTTCATGTGGGACGTGCTGCTGCCCACTGCTGATGACTGTATAAGAGCAACGACTCGAGATCTGATTACGAAGTATCTTATCCTCCGTACAGAGTACGAGGGCCGGCGACGGACACTGTAGCAGTATACGAGGTCCCTCCTCGGGTTATGGTACAGCACCCGGCGGCTTTCTTGCCCCAGTACGGCGAGATTCTGGGTGCTTCTTGTGATAGCCTGACCGGGGGATGGAGCTTTGAGATGATGCTCGACCATAAAGCCTTCAGCTCTATCCCCAACTGTTTTGACGTTGGTGACCTGAAGCTGCCGGTCATCATGACCGGCCGTAAACCAGTTTGCTGGAAGTGTGGAGTGACTGGTCACCTCTCCGCTTCCTGCCCAGAGAAGAAGGCCTCTGGATCTCAGGTCCCAATCAACCAAACTCCCCCTCTGACCGAGTCTTCTAAATCCGCCACGCCTGTAATGGGCACGCCGGCTACCAGGACCGGAGCGGTTGGGTCCTCATCAAAGCCCCCATTCCCCGAAGAGCCTTCTTCCACTGCAAGTGTGGTTGAGAAGGAAAAGGAGGAATGGCCGGTAGTCAGCAGGGCCAGAGGGAAGCGTCAGACAGCGGGGTCTCAATCCCCTGAAGCCTTGGGGACTAAAGACATATACAGCCTCACTCCCTCTGGCAACAGTAAGGGCAATGCCCCAGCCTCTATTCTGACCATTGAAGAGCAAAAAAAAAAAAAAAAATATGACCCGGGATATAGTAAAATGGAAAAAATTAAAAAATAAACTCTAGCAACAAAGGAAAAGAAAAGCATCTCCCCACAAGATCTCTCCCACCTCGCAGTCTTCACAGCCCTCTACATCCCATCCACCAAAGTCCCCCTCTCGCTCCACATCCTCCGACCAACACCTTCTCCCCGTCCCTCAACCTCTCTTTGTAAAGCGAAGCCTCCACTTGCTTCTCCTTCCACTTCTGCCCAGTCCCAAATTCCTCTCCAGCCCATTTAGACAACCCTTTACGCCCCGCAACACTCCCAGTCCTTCTCCTACTAAATCGCCTGTAATGCCTCCTCCGTCTAAAAGACTGAGAAGCCCTACCCAAGAGTCCACGGAAAAAAAGAAGAAACCTAAACCTATTTATAATTTAGGTACAGACGTTCGTAAAATTTCACCTTTACAAGCAGAGATGGCGAAAGATTATGGTAATATATCTGCTTTCAATAAAGCAATTTGGTGATAAAGAGATAGATGACCCAAAGAACTTTCCAAATGCGCAAAGAGTCTTAACTGTAATAAGATCTGAGACTGGGGGCGAGACAGATTTGGGCTATGTTGGACGAAGCAATAACTTCGTTCAACATGATCCCGCCCATTGCTATTACAGAAAATATGAGATTGAAAAAAAATGAAGCAATTTTGTGCAGGGAGGGTCCCAGTTTTTGTTCACCCCTCCCTTTATAGAGGACTAAAATTGACTTTCCCCTGGGATATCGGCGGAATCTCCCAAGACGGTACCATCAAAACTAAAATGGGCCATGGGTCTATGGGAGAGGCTGTCGGTATCCTTACCCCGGCCATGTTTAATTCGGGTAAACAACCCTAATCGGACTTCTCGATGACGCTCTGGTTAGCTACTTTAAATGTGCGGGGCCTGAGGTCCGAGTCTCGCAGGGCAAGGCTCTCTCGTGACCTTCAGCGCCACGGGGTGAGTGTTTGTTGTGTGCAAGAGACCCGGTTTTCTTCTCATGACTGTGGGGATATACTGTCTAAGGGGTTCGCCCTTTATTCAGCATGTTTTGATGGTTGTTCAAGGGGTGTCTCTTGGCTAGTGAGCAGGTCTTTGAAGGCTGCATGTACCCTTGTCTTCGCAGATCCGGTGGGCAGGCTTTGTGTGTTGGATGCTACCATAAAGGATAAGGCTTTGCGTCTCATTGGGGTTTATGCACCCAATAACCATGCTGAGCGGCCTGCTTTCTTTCAGCTGTTCAAGCCGTTTTTGATGACTTCTCGTCAGGTAGTTTTAGCAGGGGATTGGAATGCCGTCCTTGACCCCGATATAGATCGTATAGGGCATAATCCGGGTACTAACAATCCTGATGTGAAGGCATTTCGGGACTTTATCGGCGGGTTTGATCTTGTCGATAAGTTCTGGAATGAGCACCCTCGGGAGGTAGCATGGACTTGGACAAATAGTGGCAACTCGCCTCCTGGCACGCTTGCGAGCTACCTGGACCGAGTCTTAGTTAAGAGAGTCGATGTAGGGCTCTTAGGGTGTCCAAGTTTCCACTATATAGTTTATACAGATCATAGGCTTGTCCGAGTCCGTGTAAACTTAGATAAGCATAAGGTTAGAATGGCTGGTTACTGGAAATTTAACTGTTCATTATTTGGTGAGCAGGATTTCCGGGACCAGCTGCTACTAATGATTCAGAGGGAATTGACGGGGACGGTTGTGGGAAACGCCTGGTGGGATAAATTAAAATACAAAATTAGAACGTTTGCTGCCGATTTTAGTCATCGACTCAATCTAGATAGATTAGCGGCGCAAACGGCTTTAGTAGCAAAAGGTTGATCAGGCCATGAAAACCCGTGTTAGTGGGGGATATAGCCTTAGCTAAAGGCAGAGTTGTCCTCCTTGCTTATCAAGAAGGATCAAGCTCTGGTAGTTAGGGCTAGGTTAAAAAGAATGTCTTCTGAGGGCGGCGAATATGGCCGCTGAACTGTGTGCAGAGAAGAATCGGAGTGCATCTCGGCGACATATAGCGTGCGTCACATTGCCGGATAAGCGGACGTGACTACAAACGCGGGTATATGTGAGGCCTTTCAGGATTATTTTCAGGATCTTTTCACCGGGGAGCCCGGCCTGAGTCCTGCTCAGTTCGACGCCTATTTAGCTGACTTTCCCTGCCTTGAGGCAGCTGAAGCGGCTAGGTGCGAGGATCCCATTAAAAGTCGGAAATCTGGGATGCGCTGAAACAGGTTGGCCTGGACAAATCTCCAGATTAGATGTTCTTCCGTACGAAGTTTATTTGAGGCAGTCGCCCGTTTTGTTCCTTTGCTGGAACTGATTTTCAACCACTGGATGAAGCAGGGGTCTATACCTCAACGCTTCACCAGGTGTGTGATCATGTTGCCTTCATCCACAAGAACGGTGGGGATGGGTTAGGGAACTTTGGACCTTTAACCATGTTAAAAACTGAGTTCGGGTTTTGGGCGAAGATCTTAGCCAACCGTTTGCAGCTTGTCCTGTCTTGTCTGATTGACGCCCGAACAGATTTTCCCATCCCTGAGAAGGGCAGGACTATTCAGGATAACCTTCATATGGTATGCTTGATCTGAGAACAAGTCGAAGTGAAGCTGTGCCCTGATTAATTTAGATCAGTTGGAGGCCTTCCAACGTCCAGGGGTTGACCATCGGTTTATGGAGGCTGTCCTTTTGGGGGCCGTTTCAGATGATTTGATTAGCTCCTGGATCCAACTTACAAAGCAGAACCCCGGTGTGCTGGTGGATGTGAATGGGGTAAGATGAAATATCTCAATATTGAGGCATCACCACCTGGCTGGTGATGTGGGGCCCTCTGGGTCACCAAAAGACTTTGTTGGAACCGGGCTTGGAGAAATATCCAAACTGCCTCAAGGACACATGGCACAGTGGATAAAGGCATTGGTTAGATCCAGTGACAGACCCAAAGAATGTGAGTTCAATACCCGGTTAAGGCAGTGGAGAACTTTCAGAGGGAAAATTAGCAAAGGAGATAACTGATAATGACATCCATCAAACATGGGGCCAAGTGGAACTAGAACAGTCTACCCCAGTGATCGAAATAAAGGGTTCAGTTCGAAATTCCAACCACCTGAAGAAGGCCAATCAACAACGGCCGAAAAGTTGTGTCAAATATCTCAAAGATGAGGACAATAGTCCGATTAATGTAAATACTGAACCAACTTCTGGTATACGTTCAGTATATCTAAATTCTCTTTACTGTAGGCAGTAGTTGATGAGATGCCGGTTCAAATGAATGCAGAGGGTGTACCAACAACTGATAGATTTCAGTTAGACTGCCAGACTAATTTTTTACTCGGACCTTGTTCTCATTCTTGTGGAGAGAAAAGGCCCCTAAGATGAATGCATTCGAGGAAGAGGCCAGCTGCACACCAATGTTGAGCGTTAGTGTTCTGCCCTATGTTTTAATGGAAGATCCATTAGCTGCCTGAAGTTTCTGAAAATGGACCCCTTAGTCCTGATGCTCTTGATGTATGATGGCTTATCATTACTCCTGTGGCATTGAAATCGTAATTTGCTATTGAATCAGTAATGTAGAAGAGGGGGGCAAGATTCAAGATGGTTTGATTGGTGAGCGCTCGGTCTTGCTGTAGCAGGAGTCCAGTCTCAATATGGCCTTGATGACGCAATGGGTTGAAATGCCTCAAAATGATGAGGCACCAGCATAACCTGGTTGGTGATTGGCGTTTATGGTTCTGGGTCACCAAGAGACTTTGTGTCAGCAGGCTTGGAGAAATCATCCAAACTGTCTTTGTTTTATGAGGGAAGTTGAGACCATTTTTCACTGGCCCCTTTCAGTTTTTTGCTGATAGTGGGTTGAGCAGGTTTTTGAAGGCCTCATGGTTCGCTGGTCCTGCAGGGAAAGTTTTTGTCATGGAAGCCAGTTCTGTTTGTGATCAATGTGGTGCCACAGACTTCGAAGAATGAACACTGTGTTCTGTTCCCTTACTAGGTGCTAAATGAGAGTCATGATTTGGTCGACATGTCAGAAGGAATGTCTTTGGAAAAGCGAGTTCACTTCTTATCAACTGATCTTGTTCTTTAACCTGTTTGATTTACTTTTAAAATAGCCACCGGAAGGCGAGAATAGCTCACCTCATCAGAATTTGCCAAAAGGTGTCGGATATCTTGTCATCTATTCCTGGGAGTAAAAGGGGATGAGATAAAAGTTTTTTTTGATGCACGGTTAGGCATCAGGAATTATGGCCCTGGTTGAAAAAAAACAGTACCCATATTTGTGTTAGGTTGAAAGGTTTTCATTTTGAATTTTTAAAGGGATATTTTTGTTAAACTTAGCAAAGTGGTATTTGCTCATTGTAACTTTTTTTCTGTCCAATTTTCTTTTGGTTTAGTTTAACTCCCCATCCCATCCCTTGTTAGGTGGTAGGCAATTTTCAGTTCTCTGGTGGATGCGGACCTGTACCTTCCATTTCGGTGTGTTTTTTATATTTGTTGTTGTCTAAATCATATGCCTGTGAGGGGGTGTGATTGGTGATAATATTTTTTACATCAGTTCTAAAGTGAAATTGAAGCATTTGTCCAGTTAATTGATTTTACTGTCACATTTAGGGTTTGTAGAATATTTTTATTGTAAGATAACATGATTTTATTTAGTTTCATTTAAATAATTTTATGTCATATTGTATATATTTTTGTATGGCATTATCAGACACCAGATCCTGACAATGTATATATTAGAAGTACTAAGATATCGCAACATTCTACTTTGAAAGAAAAATAGTTAATTCTTAGAGTATCTAAAAAAAAACTTTTTTTTTTTTTTTTTTTTTTTATTGAGAGGGCAAATATAAAAGAAAATTATAAATGCTAATAACTTTATATTTCACAAAGAGAATCTTAAATTATGTCAGATGAAATTTGGAAATTTGCCAGGCTAGGATTGAGTAAAATGTGAATTTTTTAATCCCTATAAAACTTCATCAGCAAAGAAATTGACTAGGAAAAAAGGTCTATTACTAGGGAAGAGGTGTCATGAATTGGGATTTGGAAAAGAGGGATAATGAAAAATTTGTCTTCCTGTTTTGGTAAGTCAGATCATTTTATCATACCTGGATACATTTAATACACAAACTAAAGTATATGATTTTTGATGGTGTTAAAAATGATTCTCAAACCACTTTGAACCATCATCCATTCCAAAATTTCAGTTAAGTCCAAGTATAATTTTATTTTAATTTTATCTCTTGTTACAATGCTTTTAAGCAAATTCTTAATATACTGATAAAAAGGATGGTGTCTTAATATATTTAATGTCAGGAATTGTTATGAAAATTTGGATTATTCATTTAAATGTTTTTTATCCCATAAAGAATTGTTTTGTTTATTAAAGTATCTACAATTGAATTTTTAAAAATTTTTTTTAAGATTAAAAAGAAATTTCTATCAAGATTATATTAAAACTGAAATTTTCAATTTGGAAAATTTACAAAATCTGTATTATTTTTTCTATATTAAATACTTTTTTTTTTTTTTTTTTTTTTAAAATATATAGAACATTTTAATGTCCTTTGTCTCTTCATGATTATTAAAATTCTGTAATAGTGAATTTCAATAAAAGATGCCTTTTTTCTGTTGGTGTTTTTCTTTTTCAGATATGTTATTAATTTTGAATTTTTCTCAGTTTTTTTAACAATAACAAATCATTTGTTTTCAGTTATTTATTGTTTTTTAGGTAAATCTTATCTTGAAAGTCCTTGGGTAAATACTATTTGATTTTGTTGATTCTTTCTTACCTAACATATGGAAAAAAGATGACTGCAAATGAAATGTTTGTGTTCAAATCATTAACAATCAAAATAATTTAAAAAGCAGATTATTTTAGCTCCACTGCAAAATATAGAATGCCAGAATCTATTATTTTAAGAGTCAGAAAATTTAGCAGGATGTTTCTTTTATTTGTTGTTTTTGTCAACTATTGTTTTGTTGTTGTTTTTTTTGTTGTTTTTTTTAACATATATTCTCAAAATGTTTGTTTACACTGAAGATAATATTTCCATAGAGAAGTCAAGTCAATGGATGTTTTTAGGAACTGAAATGCTTTTCAAAATCTGTTTAATTTTTAACAAATTTTAAAACTCTTAGTTTTTATTTTTACTATTAAAATACATAGTAACTCTATACAGATACAGTATTCACTTTGTTACTTTCAATTAGCTATCCAGCCTTTTACTATTCATTTCTATTTAAATTTTTTTTTTTTTTTTTTTAAGATTATGTTGTGGTGTTTTTCTATTTTTAAAATGTCTATTTTTTATTGTCTTTCAACAATACAGTGTGGTATACATTTTATATTACTAAAATTACTTTTATAAAAGCAGTATTCTTTGCTTTCACTTGCAAAAAAAAAAATAATTCTTTCAGTGTTATCAAAATCATTGGTAGGGAAAAGATTTTATTGCCACAGGAAGTCAGTTTTCTAATTCCACTTTCCATGCCAGTAACAGTTACACTACTTTTTGAATAGTTAATTTCAAGCAATCATTTCCTTTTGGTAAATTCCTTATTGACACACAAGAAATGTACACATAATCTAAAGCACAAAATGTGATGGAAATATCTAACTTAAATACTTGCCCCTGTGTGTACCACAAAGTATTATTGAATAAGATTGACAAAATAATTAATTTATATTAAATACCATTTGAGCACTTTATACATAATGGCTAAAATCCAAATGTATGTACCAAGATTTTGAAGTTTGTGAAAATAATCTTAAAGCATTATATGCTTTTTTTTAATATTTGTATTTCAATTTTTCTTTCTCAGGAACACCAGGAATCATTACGTGAAGCAATTGAATTACAACCACCTGAAGAACAACGGGAATATAACTTGGGCAGTGATTCAGAAGGCAATGTGTATATTCATTTTCCTCAATTCTGTGGAGCAGACTTGAGAGTCTATCGACATAAACCTTTTCCTGATCCATACTTGGAAAATGAAGACATGAATGATTTTGAAGTAGAATCATCTGTGAAAGAAAAAATGGTAATGCACATGTAACTTTGAATTTTTTTTTTTTTTTTGTCTCTTTATTTTTCTTTTCTTATGTTTGTTTTTTTTTTTTTTTTTTTTTTTTTTTTTTTTTTTTTTTTTTTCTTTATATTTGGTTTAGGAAACCTACAGTCCAGTAAAGAAAAAATACAGCACAAAATCTGAAGTTGTTTCTGAAGTAATATCTCCTCCTTCAGTTCGACCAAGCAGATTGAGACAGGTAATTGTACCTTTTGCTTCTCTACACAAAAAATGTTTTCTTATAGCATTTACCAAAATATATTAATTTATGAAATAAACATTTAAATATTTTATGTTTATTAATGGTTGTTGCTGAAAGTCTATCAAGCTTTACATAAGAATGGTTAAGCATGGGTTGTTGCTTTGGCTATCTTGTAGGCATTTGACTGGGTTTGGCACACTGTTCTTCACAAGTTGAAAGGTTATGGTATTTCTGAATTCATTTTTGATCTGGTTCAATCTCTTATCAAATTGCAAAATGAAAGTTGTCTTTAACAGCAACTCTCCTAGATCTTTTTGCATTAATGCACATGTCCCCCAGGGCTTTATCCTTGAACCTATGTTATTCCTAATTTTCGCCATTCCCAATGTCATCAGTTTTCAAGTTGGTATCTATGCTGATGGCACAACTATTTACTCTGTTTTAATGGTAAGTTTGATCAGTTCGATTAAGTCAAGTTTCGCAGAGTGCCAAGATATCTGAAGAACCTTTCATCAGAAAAGATTCTACACTAGAGAAATTGGTATTGAATACCATGAATATTGAAGAAAGGTTGAGAGGCTTAGATGAATTTTTTCCTTACTGGTTTATTTTTATTACTTTTAATGCTGTCATAAAAATTTTTAAGATGAAAAAGGCCAAAATAATTGTTACTGTCCATTGTCTAAGTTGATACAAACCAGTTGAAGTGTGTCTAAGACTAAAACATAATGTCTCAAGGTTATCCACTGGAAATACATGCTCATATGGGCAATATGGCACTGTAAATACCCCAATATTATACAACTTTTGACCAGAGTATCAAAGAGTTTGGGCTCCTTGCTACCAGTTGGAATACAGCAGCCAAAAAATCGGCCCAGTATCCTCAAAATATCAGTCAGATTATCAAAATGCTAAGATAGTTAAAATAATTAAAGCTAAGGAGGAAGTAACTGGAAAACCACATTATAAACAGAAAAAAAGGATGAACCTTTACTCTCCTTCAATAGAGAAGGAAAAAGTATGTTGGGTGATAGAAACCATCTCCTATAACCCTGTTCATCAGTCTGCAAACAAAAACTCTCGGGCTGAAGAATTTTGGCTAAGATCCAACCTAGTTTAGGTCCAGCTGGATTATCTTGGTTGTTATTTTTCTCGGGAGTTGAAGTGAAGGGTGGGTCGTCTTTCTGGTTTCACTTGATCCTACTAGTTAAAACCCACTTGAGTTCAAAACCCAATTCCAGGCATAAATTCATTTTACTGTAATTAAATGCTTAAACTAAATCGTATATAAAATTGTGTTGATTTTTGTTTTTACTTTTTTTTTTTTTTTTTTTTTTTTTAACAGAACATTAAAACTATTTTACCAGTCACAGTAACCACAAGTGAAGATGAGGAGGAAGTGGAGAGCATTGATAATGATTACATTGAACCTTTACAAAAAGTAAAGAAAAGAGGTAGAAAAAAGAAATATCTTTCTCAAAGCAATATCATGGACTCCTGGGTTACTTCAACTGAAGGAAGGTATAAAAGAAATGGCACTTTTAGACTACCAATCTACCTTACACAAAGTAAATTTTTGAAATTCTCTGAAAACAAAGACTACTTTAAAAGATATAAGTCTACTAATAAAAAAACACTGGATTGTAATAACTGTAATGACACCCCAAACTTACTTGCTTGTAGTTTGAATTCAGGTTTAAAAGACTTTAAACTTAAATCTGAAAAACCAACTCCTGAAATGTCCTGTAGTAACAGACAAAATGATGAAATATGCAAACACATAAATAATGTATTGTTAGACAACAGACAGAGTAATAGAATAAAGCAAGAGGTTTCATCTGAATCTTCTGGTTGTAATGAGGTCAAGAATGAAGTCTTTAGTACTTGTGTTGAAAATGTTAACAATGCCATAAGAAAAAAGGAAACTTTAAAGAATGATCAAACAGGTGTGAATCCATCAGCTGAATTAATTGAAACTAAGCCTGGCATTTTTAAAAGAGAAATGAAAATAGCACCCTCAGAAAGAGCAATAAATGAAAAAAAAATAAAACCTTTGAGGAGCAAAAGAAAATATTCAAAAGGACTCAAAAGAAAAACAAGTCACCATCTTGAATCCATTTCAGTTGAACAAAATGAGTCACGAGAAAATAGTCTTACAAATAGTTCAAATGATGAGTTGATATGCAAAACAGAAAAAGAGGAAACAGATGTAGAATTGGTAAGTAATACTGTAAATTTGTTTATTAATTTTTTGGCACATAAACATTTTCTTTTATTTGTATACTTTTTCTGAAAAAAGCAGAATTAGAATAAAACTTGAAAATTTAAATTTTACTAACAATTCCCGGATGATATGGAAGCACAGTGAATTAATGGATAGTGGCTCAGATTGAGGAATTGGAATTTCAATTTGCAGTTGAGTTCATTAAATTCATTTATCCATCTCTTCTCCCCACCCAGTTATGGGTAAATAGCAGGGCACTGTGTCCTATTAAACTTGGATGGCAAGTGGCAACTCTGAATTCAAAACCTCCAACTCGCCAACCTGCAATTTTCCAATGGCTATACTCTACACAAATATTTTTAATTGCCTCTGTAAGATTATTACTTTTCAGAATTCATACAGTAAGTAATGTTGCTTTTTAAAGCTATAATCTTCCACTGGATTAAACCTTTAAATGCACAATAAACAACATAGAAGAGATGCTAAACTAATTCTAGATGCAGTTTCATACAATTCAACCTTGATTTTTCTTTGGTTAGTTGACTCAAAATTCATGGTATTGTAATATGTAATTACTTTGTTCTGTCTATTATTTTGACTTAATCCCACAGAGGGAGGTTATCTCCCTTTTCTCTCCATATATGGTCAGCCATGCCTGATTTTTCTTTTTCCTCTCAGGTTACAGCCTTACAGTATTTCTGCAGTGTTAAGGGGGCAACATATTTCTCCTTTGTGTGCATGCCATACTGTGCAACTGTGGCAAGAAATATACTTCTTAATCATGTTCTCCTCTATGGGTGCTCTTCCAAGGAAGATGTCTGCATACTGTTGAACCACTCTTGAAGGTTGTACTGATGTTATGAACTAACAAATTTATAAACAAAAAGGAACTGCACAGATCTTTTCCAATAAGCCCTTCACATAGCTTAGTCAGACTGAGGCTGTTTTATAAGTATTCTTATCCCCTTGTACCCTTCTATTTCAGTTTGTGGGAGCTACTGTCATGTATCAAGGCTAGTTATGTTGTAGGGTACTGCTTATACTGGCTATTTCTTGTTCATTTCCTCAAAGATGAGGACAAAAGTCCAAACAATGTAAATAGTGTGAATACCTCATCTCAGAAATATAGACAGATGATTAACTAGTATATTGAAAAATCATCAGGTATACCAAAAATTTATAGGACATAGCAAAAAAAAATCATCATCAAAATTACAAAACTTCTAAATATGAGTAATTTTACTGGCAGCTGACATAAGAAATATATCGATTTTAAAAACATTTTCAAATACTTCTGCAAAGATAATTATAACAAAAATCCTCCAGAATACACTTTTTTTTTTTTTTTTTTTTTTTTTTTAATCAATCACATGTCCCATAACTTATTAGTGTTATAGCAGCAGCACATGTACTGCAGTCACAGAAAGAAGCAGTGTGTGTGTGTGTCTCTAAGACACACTAACCTAACAGAGTTCATCCTTATAACTTCCCTTCTAGACTGGTTGTCACCCAGGGCAAGAGAGGCCAGTCTGTATTGCTATTTAAACCCATGACTGGAGGAAGATGGAAATAAGCCTTTTTTTAAGGGTATTCTATTTTAGAATTTGACCTTGGCCCACTGATTTCATTTTCTGTGTTAATAGCCACTGCACTATGCACACACACTTAATTTATATATATTGTTCTACGTGACAAAAATAACTTTTTTTTTTTTTTTTTTTTTTTTTTTTTTTTTTTAAAATCAATTGTAAATAATGAAACATGTCAGAATTTCTAAATAACTAGCTCTAATTTAAAATATGTTTGTATAAAGATTGTGTCTCTATTTTGCAACAAGACTAAATTTATGTATATAGTATGAAAAAGTAATTTTTGATGAGACAGAGGAATAAAATAGTGAAGAAATGTATGCAAAAAGTAGAACATACCTGATTGTTTTTGTAAATAAAAATAGTATTATGAGAGTACACGTGTGTGTGTGTGTATATATATATATATATATATATATATATATATATATATATAATTTGCATTTATAAACATTTGTATATATAGTTATGGATAACATCTCTCATAGCAAGTTTTCCTTTGAAAGTCTATTAGTTTTCAATGTTTTTCTCTCTTAATGAATGAGCATATGCTAAAATGATCTGTAGAATCAGTTGTTCATTATGTAATAAATGATTGCACTTCATTGAAATTTTTATTGCTATATCATGCTTGTATTGTAGTGAATTTATTTTTTTAAATCCCTCGTGACAAATATCAGTGTAAAACTCAGTAATATCATATTTATTTTATTTTAGGAGTTTTAAGATGATTTTAAGATGATTTTATATTTTTATACAGGAACCTGAAATTGGAAGATTTGAATTGATTGTGGATTCTGTTCAAGATTTAAGAGATTTAGTAGGTCAATTTGAAAATCCTAATTCTAAAGGACGGAAACAAAAAGTAAGTATTTGCTAAATGCATTAGAATTTAATTTTTTCTTAGCATTTTAATTTTAAATATGTTTGAAGTACCTGCTGTTTTATTTTAAAAAAATTATTATACAAAGCAGCATATTGGGTTTCTGACTCAATAAAATGTCTTTCTCTGACCATTTTACTTCAATGGTTTCATCCTTGATAATACTTGTATGATTTGGATGCACAGAAAATCAATCAGAATAATCCTGTTTCAATGTAAGATCACAGAATAAATGTCTTTGTAATTCACACCTGAGGATGATCTCAGAGGAGATTGAAAGTAATTGGGTAGGAAAAAACTGGCACCTTCCTTGATGAATTTCATTTTAACATCAAGAAACTGATTAGAGATTATTATAAAAATAGTCTCTCTCTTTTTTATATATATATATATATATATATATATATATATATATACTTTGAATATACGCTCTTTTAGCGCTAGAGGGCGTCGTCAGTGATGTTCTGGAGATGGATCACCGGGCAGTTTCGGGTCTTTCAAACATCATACTGACCTCACCAAATCGACCTCTCCCCCCGAGCTGATCAGACTCTGAAACGCCCTCTAAAAAATGCTTGTAGACACTGACTTCTATAAATATACCCCGTTATCACACATTTGATTGGAGATTGACCAACAGCCAATCACAATGGTGCAAAATCTATTTAAACCATTTACGGGTAATTTTTTTCTTTTTCCATTTTTTCGTGGACACCCCTTTATCGGATACTTAGGTAATTATGTTTTCCGTATTTACCCACTTCCCATCAAGTTTCGTTTCACCAGCTAATAATTACTATTTACAGAGATAAAAAAAAAAAAAAACAGCCATTAAAATTAATAAATAAATTACAGCGAATTAAGCCGAGAGTGCTTATAAATATAATAAAACGTTTAAAACTGTTTACGAATAAAAAATAAAATAAATTACAGCGAGTTAAAACCGAGAGATCTTATAAATTACATAATAAAACATGTTGACAAGTAAAAAAAAAAAAAAAAAATAAATAATTAATAATTTACAGCGAGTTAAACTGAGAGGGCTTAAAAATATCATAATGAAACATTTAAAACGTGTTAACGATTTAAAAAAACAAAAAAACAAACTAATCTCATTTATGCGATTAAAATGAATAAATAAATACAATGAATTAAACCAAGAATGCTAATAAATATCTTAATAAAACGTTTAAAACATTTTGATGAGTAAAAACCCTAATCTATTGATTATAAAATTAAATTTGTTTTCCGTTAGAAACGAAACGAGAAGTGGGGGGGTAAGAAAAAAAAAATAACGGTGAGAAATTCGTGGTCAATCATGCTTTGCATAAAGTCAAATAGTAGGGGAGAAAGAAAAACGGAAAATAAAGTCAATTGGAATTCAAAACTCAGGAGATTTCTAATCAATAATAAAGGACGAAAATGGGGGGAAAAGACTATCGAAAATAGATCTCTTTTGCACGTTACGATATTATGCAATTATTCTAGATACTGGGGTAACAAGATAATATTGGTTATGCGGGGGTAGGGGGAGTCAACATTTATGCCAAAGGGAAAATAGATAATAAATAAATAACAAAAAGGATAAGTAAATAAAGAGAAATAAGTAGAGTAAGATATAGAATGAAACAAAAACGCTTTCCTTCCTCCTTTCCTTTGAAGGTTCGTATGTATTATTTACAATGGCTGACAAATGAACCGTGTTAAAAAAAAAAAAAAAACTGTTTTCGATTATACGTATTTACAAACTGATTACGGCATTTCTAGTTAGTTAAAAGTTGTGGCATATCTTTACACTATTTACAATTAATATACAGTGATGTAAAAAAAAAAAAAAGAAAATTACACTTTTACATTAATTTAGGTTTTCCCCAGTTTACTCGACCATACATTTGCACGTTTTAGCCATAGCCATTTAGCTGTTCTTTCTGCTGTCTCGGTAATGGTTTGGATAGCTTTTCATTTTTTTGTTCCCACTATCCCAATGTCTGTTAAGGCACTGACTAGTGATTTTGCCACAAAACCCCTTGTGCCTACTTCGATTGGTTTGCAGCTTGCCTTCCATCCATTATTCCTACAACTTTCCAATAATTCATCGTATTTTAGTTTTTTCCTTTCACTGGCTTCTTCTATGTTATCCTCATAACAGACTGTTAGTTCCCACATGATGACTTTCTTTAGTTTATTTGAAAAAAGGACTAGGTCTGGGCATTTCTTAATTGGGTCTTGAAAATGTGATCGGGGAAATTTAGCCTTTTACCTAAATCCACTCTGAGTTCCCAGTCTGTTGCACATGATAAACATTTTGTCCATGAACCCTGTTGTTTGAACCCAATCATCTTTGCTACTTTCATTTTCTCTTCCCCTGCTCGAATTTCGTCCAGTAAGAGTTGGTGCTTTTCCTTACCTACGGCTTTGTCAATTCTAATAGTAGGAAAGAAACCAAGCCCTGCCTGACCCGAGGCGACAGTGCCCAGCACCACTTTTTCGCGAAGACGCTCTTCTGCCACTTTCAATTCCTTTACAGCGTTCCATTTCCTCCCAGTGTAAACCTCAATATTTGCTCCTGCCACTTTTGGGTCCTTGGAGAACTTGTATTATTGTTCGCACCTTAGTGACTTTATATTCTTCTACAAGGCTTTTAAAGGGTAGTTGAAGAAAGTTGGAATTACCGTAAAGGGCAGCGCTACTTAGACACTTTGGTAGACCTAGCCATCTCTGTAAATGGGAGTTGATGTTTTTTCTATGTGTTCTACGGTAGAGGTAGTGGACTCATAGATGGTCAAAGGCCACAATATTTTTTGGAGAATAACATGTTGGTAAATCCAAGCCTTGTATCGTCTGGGTAAGCCGGACTTGTCTACTTTATCTAACCAGGCTTCAAGGTTATCCTTTGTTTCCTGGATTGCGACAGTCCTTCAGGGTATTGTCAAAACACTTACCCAAGTTCTTGATTGGGTTTTGCTTTATAGTCGGGATATACTCGCCAGACAATTTAAAGCGATCCCTCTCTGAAGTATTCCCTTTTTTCACCACTAATGACCTCGATTTGGCGGCGTTGAAACTTATTCTTGCCCATAAAATAAGTTTCTCCAAACCTTTTAGTAACCACCTCGCACCAATCACAGACGAGAATGTTATAGTCATATCGTCCATGTATGACCTTATTGGCGGTTGCCGTTGACCAGATCTTGTTAAGAGACCTCTGCATTCTATTTCTGCCGCTTTTATTAGTATATTCATGGCCAAGGAAAAGAGGGTAGCTGAGATAGTGCAGCCTGTTATGATGCCTTTTTCCAATGTATGCCATGCAGATGTTGTATTTCCTGCTGCTGTTCTCATTTTGAAATTGTTATAATAATCTACTATGGTCTCTATAATTTGGGGAGGAACATGGTGGCGATTTAATGATTCTTCTACCAATTTGTGTGGGATAGAGCCATAGGCTTTTCTTAAGATCCAGCCACAGAAAAGCCATGTTGCCCTTATGTGCTCTCATGTCTTTTAGCAGCTGCGTGATGACACCTGTATGTTCTATGCACCCCGGTATGCCTGGAACACCTCCTTTTTGAACAGAGGTGTCAATATACTTGTTCTTTAAGAGGAAATCTGTCAGCGTCGATTCATAACGGTAAAAAATTTTTCTTCTTGACGTTCAATGGGAGATGTACCTAAATTGGTTTACTTGCTCCTTCCTCTTTAGGGATCCATATTCCTTCTGAGCACCTCCATTGTACAGGTATCTTCCCTCTTCTCCAAACAATTTTAACAACCTCCATAACATATGGAGCAACAATGGGCAACGTTTATAAACTAAGGGACTCTGTTAGGTCCAGGGCTGATCCCAATTTGGCTGTTTTTAATATTCTTTGAACTTCTTTCAATGTTGATTCTTTTTCAATCAAAAAAGGTTATGAAGGCAAATTAGGTGTGATTAGCGAGGAGTTTTCTCCTAGCTGTATATGTTTATTTGGGTCACTCAAGTCATTTTTAGAAGTCATTTATTTTGTCAGGAGTAGAAGTTAACCTTCCATTTCGTTTATCGCCTAATAATTTCTTAGTGAAACCGTATGGATTAGAGAAGCTAATCGTTTATGCCGCCCTTTCCTTCCTTCTATTCCTGTGCCATTCTGCTCTCTGTA